TCGCTTCTAGCACGCCGTGCTGGCTTGTAGTTATGATTTTGGTTTGTGTAAGAGCGTTTTCGCTTCTAGCACGCCGTGCTGGCTTGTAGTTATGATTTTGGTTTGTGTAAGAGCGTTTTCGCTTCTAGAACACCGTGCTGGCTTGTAGTTATGATTTTGGTTTGGGTAATTTTGGTTTGCGTATGAGCATGTTACACTAGCACACTGTGCTGGTTGGAGGGGTCAATGTGGGCTACATTGAAGCAGCTTTTGCTAGTAATAGAGACATGTTAGAAGCTTATTAGTGCAGTATTAGTTATCTAAGGCATTTAGATGTTGAAGATTGCCGATAGTTGAGATTTAGATGAAAAACGTTAGAAAAATGTAGCATTGAAAAGCTTTTCGGGTTGAAAATTTGAGCAATTCATTGCATCCCTCTCTGGCTGTACAGCATAGGATATTGTTATAAGTGCCCTTTTTCAACATTTTAGATTCATTCTCGAACATCACGAGTGTAGTTTTTTCTCGTGGCAGACGCAGACGTGCCGGGGGCGAAGCCTGTTTTGTGCTCAGGCAAAAATCGGTTAACTGCTCAGTTGAGATTTAGATGAGAAATTTTAGAAAAGTTTAGGATTCAAAAACTTTTGAGGTTGAGAAAAGTTCTCAGATGTAAGCAGGACGTATGTTATCATCGTTCATTTTCAACATTTTAGGTTCTCGAACATTTTGAGTGTATTTTTTTCTCTGTGGCAGTACTTAGTTTTTTCTCGTGGCAGTTAACCGATTTTTGCCTGAGCAGCCTGTTTTCGGTTAACTGCTCAGGGGGCCGGGGGTCCGATCAATGCTTGGTCAATGAAGCAGGGAGGCATGATCGTCTTGAAAAGTGCAACGCAGAGATACTGTTCCTCTCTGCATCAATCCGCATTGGGAGGTGCCCAGGGGAGCCCCCTTGAAGTCATGACGGGCGCCCAGTGGAGGAGGTGGGCATGATTGTTTAGATGAGGACAAAATGCTGACGATGCGTCCACGGTCCAGGGGCATAGAGAGTGCGGGCGGCATGATAATGTTTTGCACTATTCATCTCATCTGTGCAGTGGGGTTTTTGAGTAATGCCTGCATGGCTTCGAGGACAGCAGAAATGATAGTACTTAAGCATAACTAAGCAAAGTTTAAGCACGGAGGTCTACCTAAGTTTAAGAGCTACCTCCTTTAAGCACGGAGCGAGGTCAGGAAGCGCAGGGCTGAAGCAGGAGCCCATCTAATCTAATCTAGTCTACCTTCACTTCAGGGTCCGTGGAATACATTTATTTACCATATAGATTTTTTTTACGATACACCCTAGTACCATCAAAATTTCTACGATGGATGTACTACAACAAGCTCGACAATACCAGGTGAGAT